GTTTTGAATTTTGGTACAATTTCCAACTAATATCTTTTCAAACAGTTTTGAATTTTATTAAATCGATTCAAGATTTTTTAATTAAACGTGGATTAAAATCAGTATTAAATGGCTTTTATCTGCTAAAAGAAATGACTCTCGGGGGTCTCATGAAATAATGGCTTTTAAATTTTAAATTGAAGCAGCGATTTTTGAAAAACGTCGACAATAATGGTCAAATTTTAACTCATATACAAGCAGGCACAATTTTTTTCAAACATAAAATCGGATTTTTCGGCCGAAAAATGAACTTCTTTTTCGGGAAGTTGAAAATTTGTTTTGTTTATAGGAATCGAATTTTTCAACTTATCAACGTATGTGGGCTAATATGGAGTCAGCTAGGCCAAGTGTTTTTACTACAAGCAATGACGAGGGAGTCGAACGTGTCCTAAAAGGCAAAAGATTATATGCTTTTCTCATGGAATCTACAAGTTTGCAATACGTGATAGAACGAAATTGCGAACTTACACAGATTGGCGGAAGATTAGATTCAAAAGGCTACGGAATTGCTATGCCAGTCAGTAAGTATTTTGAATAAACTATAATTACATATTTAAAAAAATCACTGAAATTCAAGTCCATAGGCATTTAGCTCCTTGATAATTTTTACCAATATATTTCGCTATATTTGATATAATATTTGATGAAAAAAAAGATATATTTTAAATATATTTTTTTCAATATTGAAGAAATCTATCTACTTAATCGTAATAACTTGACACATATTTAATCATTAAATATTTTGTGATATATAAAAAATACAAACACATCCTCGATCTTCATCGGGGTGAGAAGGTGCTCTATCCAATAAGAGTGATTTAACACCTAGATTTACGGACCCGAGCCAATTTGACTCAATAAAAATTTGATGACTATACACAATATATATATATATATATATATATATATATATATATATTGTATATAGCCATCAAATTTATAATAATATGCATACAAAACTATATACATTGATATATAGAATTATGGCGATTCCACTAGATCAAGTGGTGGAAAATGTCTATTTTGAATTTCTTGATAATAAACATTTCATTCAAATTGCCTTTGGCCTATTTTTTTTTTAAAAAAATACATTTTTTGCATGAGCCAAATTGCATCATTTTAGTAAAAATAGGTATAGTATAAACAGCATCCATAAATCTAGTGTTAAGCAGTAGTTTTTTTTTTCAGGAAGTATATTTTCACAGCTGAGGCAAAGATACATAGATCACTTTGAATGTAAAATATTAACTTGAGCCACTCAGGTCTACTGACCACGGTGCAGTTAACGATCAGATCTTCAATAATAACGAAGCGAAATATTTCATAACGAAGAAGTCCTTTAGTCCGGAACACTACAATCCGGTTTTTCCGATAGTCCGGCGTTTTTCCAAAAAATTTGTTTTTTCTCAATCGAAAGCTATTAGAACGTTTTCGGGATGGTTCGGAATGGTACGGAACACTAACTCTCGATTAGAAAATAGAAATTATCAAACGGCTAAAAATCATGAAATTTTTGTTTTTTTGTAAAAATTAAAAATGTTTTTTGTTATTGTTTTCAATAGCAATCAAAATACAGTACAATCCTATTGGGCTATTTGGCTTATATCATTCACTCACACACATACACACACACTTTCAAACACACATATAAATTATTGTGATAAATATTATCTAAATATCGATAGTTAAAAAATCACTCCAATGAGTTACTCACAAATTCTGATTCATTTCTACAACGATGTGGTAGTGCTAAAGGAAAGGTCTTCAATATTATCATTGGGCAGCTTTTTCTTCAGTCTTCTTGAAACTGTTGTCTCAAGAAGCTGAGTGGTTATTGAATTTGAATGATTGTCCAGTTTATAAAAATGTTTAATACTGTTTATTTTTATAACTCTGTTCATAAATTCTACGTTAAAATCGTCTTGTAAGGTTTTATTTCTTATGAACCATAGAGCATTACTAATTTGTCTCAAAATTTTATACTGGGCACGTTACATTAGCACAATGTTTGATTTGTTCGCAAAGCCTCACAATTGTATTCCATAAGTCCATATCGATTTTATCGCCACCTTGTAAATTATTAGTTTATTATTAATAGATAGAATTGACTTGCGTGCCAGAAGACAATATAGTTCAGCAGTCGAATTTTTATAGTTTTTAATTTTGCGCAAATATAATAATATGATCTTTCCATGTCAGTTTACGATCTAGATGCATACCTAGGTATTTGACACAATTAATACTTGAAATTGCTTGGTCATAAAAAATTAAAAATATTTTAAATATATATTCTATTAAATGTAAAATAAGCTTTGTTGCCTGATTTGTTGCCTTGTTTTCATAATTACCACTCGATAGTCCGGAATTTTCTATAGTCCGACACGTAGATCAGGCCCGAGCGAGTCGGACTAAAGGACTTCTACGTATATAGTTACCAATCCCATCAATTATTTCTAGTAATAACATCAATCACAATTCGTCATTTTAGATTCCCCTTACCGTACAGCAATAAGCGGAGCAGTGCTCAAAATGCAGGAGGAAGGAAAACTTCACCAGCTCAAGACCAAGTGGTGGAAGGAAATGCACGGAGGCGGAAAATGTACGGCAGACGCTCAAGTTTCAGACGATTCGGCAGCAGAATTGGGCATCGACAACGTGGGTGGTGTTTTCGTCGTCTTGGGTTGCGGTTGCGGAGTTGCAGTTGTGATAGCAATGTTGGAATTCTTGTGGAACGTGCGAAAAGTCGCGGTGGAAGAAAAGGTAAAAAAATTGAATAGATGGTGTTTTGTTAAATTAAATTCTCGAAGGAAAAGTTTATGTTTTCATCAAAAAATCCGATTCGCTAATTATATGTTTGCCCTACCTTTCAAGCCATTCTGAATCGAATGAGGCCAGGAAAAAGTGTATGTATGTGTGTGTGTGTGTATGTGCGTATGTGTATAGATTTTTTGCCTTAAATCGGCGTTTTCTGAAAAAGGGCAGGACCGATTTCAAAAATTTAGAAACCATTCGATGTACCTATGAAGACTATCGTTTGCCAGTTTTCCGTGACGATCGACCAAGCCGTTTCTTAGTCTGCAATTCTGGTTCAATTTTCAAAAATTCAAAATCATTCAAAAGATATTTGTTGGGAATCAATCTGATAAGTTTTTGGTAAAGATTCGCTGGCATAAGTTCTTGTAATTAACAGTTGATTTATTTTGTATATTTATTTTATCAAACCGTAACGACCACAACATTTTAACAAGAAATCGATTATATTGTATGAAACAACTGCTTCAAGAAAGTGTAATATTTTTTTTAAATCTTTACAAATAGCAACCAAGATACTGTAATATCTTATAAACTATTGTAAAATGCACAAAAACATAGAATAGAAGAAATATATTAAATTTAACTACTGTGATACAAATCTCGGTAAGGGAAGTCTCTATGAGAGAAGAGAGATTTCAATTATTTTTTTTAAAATCAACTATGATTTTTGGCCAAGACGTATGACCAAAATATATTTATTTAAAAGTACACCATAAAATAACATTCAAATGGTAGAAGTTATAATTAATTGATATGCGTGTCATAATTATTAATGGTTCTAAAGTTTTTTAATAGATAAACATTTGTTTTCAACATTTTGGATAAAAATCGTTAGGCATGCATATCACGTGTGGATACCTGGCCAATTAAACAAGAAATATTCAAAATTCATATTTCAAATTGCATTTACATATATATATATATATATATATATATATATATATATATATATATATATTAATTGTTTAATATGAACAAAACAGCACTCAGATTTTTTTATCACAACTTTATTTTATTATTACAAACGTTTCGAGACTAAGGTGTGCCTCATCATCAGTGTAATTTCAATAACAGTTATTTATTACCAAACATTCTTTTCAATATTTTATTTAAAACTAAATTTGGACTTTTTAATATAAAACATCAACTATACCTTGCATTGGCAAGTGACTTCATAAAATTCTATATATATATATATATATATATATATATATATATATATATATACCTTAATGTTATTATTAATGAAGATACAATTCAAAAAACACTCAAATAATGCATTTTAAAAAATGATAAGGCCTAAATTGCATGCGAAAATTATAATTTAATTATATAATACATAATTGTATTAAAAAATATAGTGGATAAAGAATACTAAGTATTTTACGTTTTCTGATTTCAGATAACGCCATGGGAAGCATTTTGCACTGAATTGAAATTTGCGCTTAACTTTTGGATAGTAACAAAACCTGTACATAATAAACCGAGTGAGTCAGGATCCCAAAAATCTTCGAAATCTCGAGAATTGTCAGAATCTAGATCAACTGCAGTTAATGCATTAAATACAGCATCAAGTTTCTTAAATCTCGATAAAGCTGGAAACTTATTTCACTAAAGCCGATTGTTTTTTTTTTGTGAACTCTCCATACTAATTCCGCAGAAATACATGAGTACATATGCATTTTTTCCATGAATAGTTATAATCAAATCAAATAAATAACTATAAATGCATTAAATCAAATGTATATACAATTGTATCAATATCTTTACGCACTAATTTGTAGATATAATTCTAGGTGAAAAAAAGCAAAGACATAAAGCATCCTAAATAACTTGAATGTATTATTGTAGGATAATTTACAATGTATCCAGAAATAAGGACTCTGTCCTTTCTGAATCATTACTGTAAAAATTAATATCAGAATAAGAGGAAATAAAATGATTAAAATTTATTTATAAATTTATTTAACACAGTGATGTAATAAATAGGTTTTAATATACAATACTAAATAAATAATTTATAAGTACTAAATTTGGCACAAAGGTAATAATAATAATTCTCCTATAATTTACAATATATGTAATTTAAATAACGTGTTATCTAAAGTCAGAAAAAGAAAACTGCAAAAATTAGATTGAAGTATGGAATTTTAATTTTATCATATTTTGTTGATAGAATTTTGATTTATTTAAAGTAGCCCAGTTTCTTACCCTAAATAGACTTACTTTTTTATCGTTAGGTATTTGAATTTAAGGGGGGCGATACATGTAACAAGAAAAAAAAAATCGATTTTTTTTTCATAAATCGTTACAATAACATCTCAAAAATATGCCTGTAAATATTCAAAACAGAATTATCATTATTTATACAATAAAAACTCATTTAAGTGCCACGCCTCAACTCGACGCTTGAGTGCTATTGTACTCTATCTGTTTCTGTGTCAAAAATTTAAACGCGTTTTTCTCAAAACGACATTTTTAAAATTTGCGGGCGGGATAACTCAAAAAGTTCTCAACCGATTCCAATGAAATTTTGCACACATCTACTTTACAGTAATAGCTTCTAGTTAAACCTCATACATTCCAAAAAAATTTTCAAAAATTAACCCTTTTACCAAAAAAAAACATTGAAAAAAAGGTGAAAAATCGAACTTTTTTTTCTAAGGTGTGCCAATTTACGATTTTGTGACTTTTTTAATTTTTTTTTGGTTTAACTAGAAGATATGTTCAATGAACACATACAAACTAATTTTTTTGATTTCAAATCACCGTACGAAAAGTGAGAACGCCCGCAAATTGATGGCGTTTTCCGAGAGGGTCTTGGCAGATTTATTTTTACGGCAGCCATTTAAAAAAAAAAATTAAAAAAAAAATTTTTTTGTGTATTTTAATATATAATAAATAACCCTAAAAAAGTTCAAAAAGATTCAGTCATTCCTTCCCAGTTTAAAAAGTCCTCAAAAAAGTGTAAAAATTAAGGCGATTACATGTATCGTCCCCCTTAATAGATATTGGAATAATCATATAGAGAAAAATATTTTAAAAGAACAACATATTTTAAAATTATTATTAGAATAAAAAATTTAAAATTTACCAAATGTTCGATTTGGTAATCAAAACTTTGAACAAAAGTGGTAAGTAAAATTTCTCCCTCTTGAAAATATGAATGCTATGCAATTGTTCGTAATAAAAATTATAAATTTTAGTATTCTATTAATTATTTTACCTTTCCTATCAGTTACTCTTCAGTTCCTCTTCAGTGCACATATGTATTCTGATTTGTATCAGACTACATCTCTCTTGTACATACTTCTAATCAAAATTAATACCATTGGGTAAATCTCCATTCAATTTAGCTCTCTTCACTAGTTCATAATATTCAGTAAAATCAACATAAGATGGTATTTTCTGATCACTATCTGTCATTTCTGATTGTGTCGTATCAGAATTTGTAGAACTATTTGTCATGCTTGCATTTGTGCCGTTAACAAAATCATTTGTACCAGTTTCATATGAATCACTGTTGGAGTAATAAGCATTATTTAAATTCGAAAAGCTCTCTACAACAGGATTGAATTTTACTGTATTTGTGCCTGGCTTTGCGATCAAGCTACTGCAATCTTCAACTTTCTTCGTATTTGTTTCAGATTTTAGTTCAGATTTGCAAATACTTTTTGGTTTTCCTATTTCTTTAGATGATGTAGGTAGCTCTGTTTTCAGAGGATAATTAAAATTTCTCACAAGCAGCGTGATATCTTTGTGACCACTCGATGCAGCTTTGCCCAATTTATATAACTCTTTGTGCATTTGAACTGTTTTATCTACGATTCCTTGAGAAACCGCATTTAAAGATGTATGAACTCGAAACTAAAAATTATATGATCTTCAACAAAATTTATTTGACTTTTAGGATTGTTAGATGATAATTTGAAATATAATTATCAGTTTATAATTATTGATTACACTGCGCGACAGCGGATTGTCTTTGCCTCAGAGGAGGAATCTGCGTCGTCTTTCTTCTTATATAATGGTGCACCCTCTATAACTGACTGGGTGATTACCAGAACAAAGAGCACATTTAACGCCGGCGTTGACTGGGTCCTTCCAGGGGCAATCTTTTGTTAGATGCTCTTTGTGCGATGCGTGAACAGTAATTTTTTGTATGTCGAAGATTTTGACATCTTGTACACTGTGGAACTTCTCTTCTATGGCGCATAGCTTCTATAGTAACATTTTTTCTGTAGAGGTACTCGACGGAGTATAAATCTTTATTAATATTGCTTTGCTCAAGTTCCACTACAAAAATATTAAGTGGAGCTTTTGTTACTCTGTGTTTTATTGTGTAGATGCGTACGACCTTGTGACCGAGTGTAATAATTTCTTCTGTGAGTGTTTCGATGTCAGTGCTATGGCGCAAATTTTTCACCACTACTTTAAATGTTCGCTTACACTTCGCTTGATAGGAGTGTAATTGTGTGCCCTTTTCATGTAGCAACTTTAAAACTATATTGTAGACGTGAGCATTTTTGGTATTAATTTTGACTTGATCGTTTTCTACTATTTTGTATGAGTACTGACCTTTTACATGAGTCTCAAGTAAACCAAATAAAGGTTCAATGTCGTTTACGCCATGTACAAAGATAGGTGGTGTGTTTAATGTTTGTTTGTCGGCATTTTTTTGAACTGATGTGCTTGCTAAAACATCAAAGTAGTTGCTAGTGGGAGTTGGGTTCAGCCAGTATTCCTTTAAAGTATGTTGTTCCATTGAGGTACTTGGATTCTGACTGTGAGCGTTTTTTATTTTGAACGGTTGTCCAGCCCTGGTTAAGGTCACTAGTATCAACTGATGATTCACTGTTGACATTGTTCATAGCGGTAACTTCCATAACATTTTGACTTGGTTCTAAATTACTATGTTCCATTGTTATATTTGGCTAATTTTACTAGGAATATTCAGTTTAAGTTGTTTATTTTCAATTTTATTGATAGTATCAGATTTTAACATTTCTGGAATAATGTCGGTATTTTTTCAATATTATTTTCGGCATTTTTGCTAATGCTAGGTTTGATTTTATGTTTAATTTTTGTGTTTCCTAATGACTTTTTTCGCTTATAATTTCGTTAACCGAATAATCTGCATTGTTTGTGTTATATAATGTTTGTATTGCTCTCGATACGCAAGCACCGATTTCGCCGGGTCGGGTCCCGTTAATCTCGGAATTATTTACCTGCCCGTAGGCAGCGTCACTCATGTCACTAACACTTTTAATTTCACTTAAATTAAACTCGATTGAGTTAATTTTTATAGATAGAAAATTAAATTCACTTGCGTGTACCCACAAAGGGCACATGGTTTTTATTATTTGACTACAGGTAGACTGGCTTGTTGTAACGTTACTGATAACAGCGATGTGAACAGTTCAACTGTCGGTAATCGAATGGAAATTAGAGATTAGCTAATTTTTTGCGCAAAAATAACCTTAGTAATGTTATGAAATCATTAAGTGACATTTTATTCCTGCTAAATCACCCCATTTTGGAGGTATTTGGGAAGCCGGTATAAAATCATGTAAGTCGCATCTAAAGCAAATTTTAGGAAATGCATGCCTTACCTTTGAAGATTTCTATACAATTTTAACACAGATCGAAGCTGTTTTAAATTCCAGGCCAATTTCTCCTTTGATTTCCGATCCTAATGACTTAAATCCATTGACTCCTGGCCATTTCTTAATTGGCTAATCCTTAACATCTATTCCCGACCGAAATGTACTTGACATTCCTGCAAATAGACTAGGACGCTACCAGCACCTACAGCGTTTGGCACAACATTTTTGGAAACACTGGCATAAGGAATACATTTCGGAGTTGCAGACTAGGACAAAATGCACAGGCCGTGCAAACCATTAAAAGTCAGAACCATGGTACTTCTCAGAGAAGATAATTTACCTTCACTGAATTGACAATTAGGTCGCATTATCGAGGTGCATCCAGGACTAGATAAGGAAGTGCGTGTAGTGACAGTGTAAGTTCAAAATAACGTTTTCAAAAGAGCTGCCACTAAGGTTTGTGCTTTACCCATTGATAATGAACAAAATCATGTGAATATGTAAACTAAGTGAAGTGTACAAAATAATGGAACAAAACAATTTTATGACAAACAATTTGATACAATTTAATAACTTTCAATTAGTGACATGAGTTAGTAAAGTTTAAATTAGTTACTTTGTATTACTTTCTTAATTTTTTTTAATTACTTATATTATTAGGCTTATAATTAATGTATCTTTAATTTCGAAATAATATTAGTATTATTTCAAGGTGCCCGCCATGTTAAGGATTCCCAATAGTGGTAAACTGAACGATTTTTTGTAGGGGTATCGTATCGTCTCGTATTCTGGTACGATAGCCTGTCGCATGGCGATGCAGACGACTGTCTGCATCTCATTTCACACATGAACTATTTTTTGTAAGGGTCGTCTGTTATGCTAGGGCTAGACTAGAGTGTCGCCGGACTATGATGCAGGTAGTCTAATGTCATTCACAGTTCAAGTACTAAATGCATTAGTAACCTAATATATTTTTAATTTTGATGTAATCTATCGGTCTGGACTGTCTATATCAGCGTCGATGATTTTATTTATGGGTCTGCAAAATGCCGTCAGATAATTTCAAGGAATCATCCTTCTCAGATATATTAAGTCCAAAAAATCATCCCCCGTATATGTACAAATTAATTAGGATTAACAATATTAGCCTCTTACGGGCGGGGCTAATATTGTTAATCCTAATTTTTAACTTCCCGAAGGAGAAGTTTGTGTTTTCATAAAAAAATCCGATTAGCTAATTTTATGTTTCTCGACGTTTCAAGCCATCCTGAATCGAATGAGACCAAATTTGGAAAAAGTATGTGTGTGTGTG